GGCTCATTGTCGACGACGCACAATGCGTGATGTCTAATTGCCGAGACCGCGACCGACGCTGACGCCGACGACGACGGCCGCGAAGGAAGGTAAACGAGGATCGACGAGAACGCGAAACGTTCCCGTGGTCGTTAGTCGCGGCGCGGCGGCGGCCCGTAGCCCCATTAGAAGCCGGAGAGACAGGATTTTCCACGGTGGCTGGAGCCACTTTTGGATCCCATTATCCACTCGTCCCCGGAATCGCGTTAACACTTTCCAGTCCCCGCGACTCTTCAGTTGTTAAATCTCGCGAACCATCGAGCGTTCGCGAGGGAAATGAGATTAATAAGGCCGGCTATTTTTCGCCGCAAAGTCGTTTGAGTGGCTGCATTTACGGGACGACTTCTCGGTTGTGTTGACGTGTAACCGTGGTAGATCGATCGAAACGATCGCGACACGCTTCGTTACGTCTCGATCCGGTAGCATACCAGTAGTATAGATAAGTATAATTTTTCTTTAATCTTGAGAATTAACGATCCGCCGATCGTAATTCTCCGAAGAAAAAACAATGCACGACGCGTGACTGCTCGTGAAACAACACGGTAAACACTGTCTCGTACAGGTCCTCGATATCATCTCGCGTATATACATATAGGAAAATCCATGGGTCTTGATTCTACGTACTCTGCGTATAAATCAGATACGATCTCCGGTAAAGTCGACGATACGCGTCGGCGAGAATATCCGAGCCCCTCGTCCGAACCGTGTGTCTCTCGCCTCTTTCTCTCACCCCCTTCTAGTCGCTGCCGTTCCTCCCGTAGCTCGGGGGCTGAACAACTTCCTATCCATTGTCGCGTATCGCAGCAAGCTCTTCCTCGTCGCGAAGCGAGATGTTATTTTTTTATTTGGACAAAGGATCCTTCTCGGCGTGTTATTACCCCCCCGTGCCACCGACCGCCGTCCCTCGTAGCCCGGGTATGTGGCCGCGAGCCGAGGGGTTGAAAATTAAAAGAGGGAAAGGGATGGTTTTCACGGCGAGGTACGCGCGGGAATATTCACGGCGGGCCAGCTCGTCATCGCCGACAGTGTTCGAGAGATCACTCGTCAGACGCTCGACCTTTCGAGGGGTGGAAAAACCAGGGGGAGGTTTTCGCGTCGACGACGGTCGTTTCTCGATATCGCGAAAATACTCGCGATCGAAACTACTGCATTTAATTACGTCTTTCCTCGTGTCAGGGGGGGGGGGGGGGGAGAAAAAAAATTCAAACGGTCTAGTCTTTTAACGATCGTCGCGAGTCAACCTCGGCTGGTTCTCTCGACGAACCGTTTGCCAAGCGTTTGACACTTTTTCACGATTGACGACTATACCGGCCAAAAACAACGAAATTCTCTCTGGTTCTCCCGGTTCTACCGGTAAATGCGTTTCATCGTTCCTACAAAAACAGCTAGCTCCCCTGGAATCCAGGAAATACGCGCAGACGGTTATTTAATGAAATGGAAATGCACCGGGGGGCTACCATTTATGCGTGTTTCCTGCGCCGGAGGAATTTCGGGTATTAAAACGTGTTAATGAGATTAACCGAAACGAGTTTGCTCTCGCAAGATAGCCCAGCCAACGTTACTACTGGAATTAGTCGAATATCCTCTGAAAAAAAAAAAACTTCAACTCGGACGGCCGCGACTCCGTATCTTCGTGCACCGGGTTGAAAATATTCTCGAAACGTTTTTTGCGACGTGTTCGAAGTAGTAAAGATAAGTGGACCACCCGGTGCCCCGTGTACGAAAGGATTCAAAGTTGTACAAGACATGGAAGTTAAATTCCACGGTGAGACCATTCCTCGATGATAAGGAATTTTTGTGACCGTGCCATCCATTTATACCCATGGTCTTCGTCGTCGGTGCTTGCTTTTACGAGCGTCCGTTGCTCGCGCAGCTTGCCGACACATTTCCTGAAAGTCTCGTGCAGAGAAACTGTGCGACAAACTCGCGACCAAGAAACTACGAAATACTATTCGTATAAATAATTAAGCTAATAAAACGTATTATTATTGTTGTAATAGATGGTTTGGTATTTCTCATTCTTTAACGCAACGATGACCACTCCTCTGCGTACAATTCTCTATCGACTTTCATATTCTCTACGCGAAATCAACGGTCGAGCGATTACACCACATAATTATTGCTACAAGTAATTTCGTTAATCAGAAACAGCTTAATTAGCTATTCGATACGCGTCCATGGTATCACGCTGACATCGAAACCCCTCGGATCCCGTCCGTCAAATGGACATCCTGATTTCCCTCGAATCGAATCGGGGACTTCCCTGTCTCCGTCAACGGCCCTCATCGATCTTCCGCGTCGAAAGATCGATGTCCTTTGTACGCGGAACTCCGTACGGGGTTCATTAATCAAACGAGAACCAGGGAATATACAGCAGGCGTACCGTCCTCGAGCTCATTAAACACCGATCTAGGATACAGGAGTTAGCCGCTCGACGTCCCCCGTGCGATAAACAACGTTTCATAGATAACTCGATTACGCGTCCATCCCTGTTACGACGATTTAAAGTATCCACACGAGCAGAGTGAGAGAAATTATCGCGACGAACTAGACGAATCGCATACACACGTCGGAAAAGGGGCGAGAGACGAGGAACGGCTGGCAGGCCGTCGCGACGCGATCCGAAGAAAACGGTTCCATCGTCATTATCATTATTATATTTATCGCAATTATCAAAAGGAATCGAGCCGGGCCGCGACGGGTATTAAGCACGCGCTAAATGTGCTCGTGCTCGGTGCACTTCACCGGGTTGGCAGCAGCGTGTAATAATAATTACGAAACGATACATGATAACGAGGTGCCGGGCCGCTAACGACGCCCCGTCGTCGTTTCTCTCTTTTCCTCTCCTCTTTCCCGCGGTTCCCCGCAGACCGTTTCACCGCACTATTTCCCTCGTCTTCTCTCGTTCCCAGCGTTTCCCCCGATTTAATAATATGCACTCTTTTATTATTTTTTTTTTTTGCAAATTTCTTCATTATTCATTCAATATCGCGTCACCCGCGATCCGCGCGCCAACACCATCCAACACCGAGCGTACGTTCTCTTTTTCTCATTGCTACAACTCGGGAGTGCCCCTCCTCTCGTGCCTGGGAGCGGAAAGCGCCCATTTTGCACGCGTTTTCAGGTACAAATAAAAAAAAATCCGGTACGGTGGGTAGGTATCGGAGTGCCGCTCGCTCGTAACATTATATATATTTTTCTACTCCTCGTTTTTCTGTTTTCCTCCTCTCGGCTACCCTTCGGCCGTCCCATTGAGCGTTTTCGAATCATTAAAACGCGACAGCGTGCTGCCTGGGCTCGGGGCTCGCTTCGGTATCGTGGGTCGCCACATTGGGCAGCCCGATTCGACGGTAAATTATCTTGCTTAATTAATGTCGCGCTGGCAAATAATTGGTCGGTCGACGGTGGTGGGAAGAGCGCGGCGAATACGAGAGAGGAGCCGCGAGCTTTGCCGGTGGCTATGCCACATCGCGAATCGATTTCCTACCTCTTCGCATCCCCACCGTTCGAACGAACCACTCTTTCTTTATCTTTCTCCATCTCCTCTACATCTCCCCGATATCGCCTCTTTAACTCTCATCCTCGCCGCGGCCGCCCTCTATCTCTCTGCTCCGCCGTCCTTCGTTCGATCTCTCCCGTTTCACTTGTCTCCTCTTTCGACTCGGCTCGTGTAATTTCTGCGGAAGGAGCCGTTTGATCTGCGCTTTTACGGAGAAAGGGCGATTAAAAAGTGCCATGAGAATAACGTGTAGCCGCGGTGAAATCCGTCGTATCGTTCCTTTGAGTCCTCCCGGGGGACGGTCTCTCGGGGAACTGTCCTTTCGTGCCCCGTGCCGTTCCTCCTCGTCCTCGTTCTCCTGCCCCGTTACGCTCGTACTTTGTCGATTAAACAACGCGAGCGTAAACCGCCGGATTATACCGTGTATATCCGTTTATCGGTTTCGATGAACACGCCGGGGCCCGCGAGACTCGGCTCGCTGCCGCGACCTACGCGATTAATTTCCCCGATGGTCTCTCCTTCTGCCGCGGACGTTATTAATTAAATGCCGACGTACGAGATTAATACGCGGCTGCTCGTTAAAAAATATCTCCGTGTTTGAAGACACAGGCTTCCATTATCGCGCGGTTCTCCGGCTCGCGATAAACGCATCGGCTCGTCGATGATCGAATTTTTCAAAGTAATAACGATTCTTCCTTATACGCTCTATGCGAGACCGAGGCTGCTGAATTAATTGCGAATCTATCCCGCTTTTCCGTTTCGTCCATCACGCAGAGAAGAATCGTTTCGACCGACGATGAAAGAGATTAAATTCGTCGGCGATCAACGATGGAAGGTGAATACATACAGGGTGACGAAAAAGAAATGTATTAAAATTGAAAATGTCCTAGAAGGAAAATCGACGATGTATTTCAGAGATGTTTGATTCGTTGAATTGCCCAGATTTTTATCTTTATTATAGCCTAACCTTACGTTTCGATATCGTGCTATTTGTTTTTAATATGAACGATCGCTACTCACCGGATCTTAATCCGATGGACTATAGCGTATGGTCGATCGTGGGGAGAAGAGCTTGTACAAAACCCCACAAAATTTTAAAATGGCTCAAGAAATCTGGTTAAAAAAATTTCGGTTCAAGAAATGCGTGGCAGAAAATTTTGCCGAGCATCTCAAAACTCCGAAGACCTTTTGATTTATTAAAGTTATAACTAGCCTGCGGATATTATATATTTACAGCATGCAGGACCACGTGAAATATAGCAAAGAATAAAACTTCAATGGAAAATTTGATAAATTTTTTATTTTACTTTTACCTTGATAGAATCCCTGCGCAAGAAAAGAAAAATCACTTCATAAAATGATATTTTGCAAAGAAATCCGCAGTCTAGTTAGAACCAACGTTAAATATGCATTTACTTTTTGTCACTCTGTGGTATGGAGAAGTATAAAAAGAAAAGCTCACATTGAATGTCGATCTTGGCCGGTGAACTCTCGATGGAATATCCAGTCTCGTCGTGCGTCGCGACGCAGACGAAGGCTCCGCTGTCGAGGATCCGGTTGACTCTCGTGATCCGTAGATCGCCGCCGTCCTGGTGTCTCCGAGGACTCGGGGCGAGTGGTTGCCCGTCGATTTTCCACGAGTACTTGACACTCGAGCTCGGCTGCGCCTCGCATCTGAGACGCACGGGTGATCCCTCGACGACCTGATGCTCGCCGGGGCTCACCGAAAAGTAAAGGTCCCCATCCTGGCCGAACGCCGATGCTGCCACTGCGGAAACACATTGATCGAAGGTTACTCGCGAGCCAATACAATTAAGTGTATACCTCTTGTTATGAAATGCAACGGTACTTGTGGCCTGCCGTGCTTTGGAAACGTCTGTTCCGTTTAACATCGCGATTCCTGACAAGGGATAAGGAAACATACCTAGCGAAGGGGGAAAAAGATGGATGTATTGGATTTATCGGATTATTGGATCCGCCGTCTGTCGAGTAACATAGATTATTCAGAGAATTCGGGACGGTTGAATGCTCCGGAAGATACGACAGGTATCGCTCATTTACCGCAGCAATGACATAACTCAAAGTTTGCGATTTATAAGTTGTCGGTAGATATGGAAAAAACGGTTATTGTCTATACCTTTTAAACTTATCACGTCGGAACGGTCACTTTGATACGATGTTCGTGAAAAATAATAGCGATCAAACACATTCAAACGCGTTTTCCCTAAAATCGTGATTCTTTAGTTATATCGGTGTTGAAGTAAACGAACGACATGTATTTGCGATGAGACCGATGGGAATATTCGAGTCGTACCGAATTGCAATGCATACGAAAACGCAGTCGCGAGATCTGTGTCCCGTGTATGAAAGCCTTCGTTAATTATTAGAACAGAGTGGTAATGCAACGACGAAATCGTCAGGGGATCCCTCTAAAACGGATCTTAACAAAAGAAGGCTCGTTAAGCTGATTGATAATTGGCACGTGGCAATAACATTGTATCGGTACCCTTTGATTTCCGTGGATATAAAAAAATCTTCCTGTAACACATCCCCCCACTCGCGTTGCTCCGTTTAATGCGAATTTTTTTTTTCGTTTGTATCGCGTCGCGACTTTGCTTCGTACGAATCGCCATACGTCCCCTCCCACAAGCTTTCTCCCGTTCCTGTACAAACGCGGACGTATTTCCCTCGAGTGACTCTGCACGATTTACCTATAGCCACGTACCTATGTAGTATATCCGTATTCCCGACGATTCGTCGGATAGGAAAAGACAGGGAAAGGGGAGTGCAGGGAACAGAATCTCCGAATGATATCCGTAAAATGTGCGGCAGGTGTTCCCCGCAGAATATCGTATTCGTATTTTCCGGGGCGCATGTACCCGCATTTGCATAAAACGATCGTGAATTCGACTGGGAGGACGAGTCTACTCCCGCCAAAAGCGCTTATTAACGAGGCGTTTCGTTCGGTACTAAAATCCACGCGCGTATATTAACGAGCACCTTCCTCGCGTATGTTCTTTTTCACACGGAAGAAAGACTGGGCCCACCGTTTGTTCGCTGAAGCGACGAGTTAATGAAAAGTAAACTTTTCGAAATTCGAACCTGATGGTCGGAGACTGGGATTGTCGGCAAGCGTGGCCGTTCGAACGAGATTGAACCGTTCGAAGTTTGGAATTTCTTCTTTAGCGTTCTCGTTTAGTAGTCCTCGACTAGGGAAAAACATTGCGCATACTTCGATTCTACGAAATTTAGCGTTTTTGTTCCGTCGCAATATTCTAATTTGAACAGAAATATATATATGTAACACGCCTGGGGACGAATCGATACAGATGGAAAACGGTCTCGCTTCCCAGATTATCGTTGAATTCCGCTCGGACCCGGTTCGGTTATATTTTAATTGTTCGTGCAGGATTCGAGTTGGACGCGTTCGCGAAAAATTCACGTGTCCGCCCATCGAACAAACGTGGACGAACGAGCGGCAATAGTTGGCCGTGTAAACTAAACCAACCATACCGATCGTGGTTCGGAGGAAAGATGAAAAGAGGAGAAAGAGAGAACGGGATCGGAGGAAAAAAAAGAGGAGGGAGAGAGACGGGGAGAAGGGAATAGACTGTAACAAGAATCATCTGTTCGAGCATATTTTTTTCGGTCCGTCGATGTCGGTGCCGCGTCGCAAAAAAAGCCTAAAAACGGAGGGCGAAAAATCGGTGGAAAACGAGCGACGGCATATGGAACTCTGATTCGTTATTGTACATCGACCGATCGTCGAACCGGTGATTTCGCAAACAGTGGCGGTGCGCTCTGTATGGATTAAATTCTCCGTGGCAGGGTGGGAAATCGATTGTTGCGTTTCCGCGGCAGGAAAGCGTTATGTGCAGCAACGCGGATTCGACGGTGGTGCGCGGTGGCGGGCAGCGCCCGCGTGCACGACCTATCGCCGACCTATTCATCTCGTTTACGCTCACCGGCTTTCCGAAGGGATAATTAATTAGCTCTGCGACGGGCCCGTAATCATTATCGTTAAACAGAAAATATGTTCCCGTTCGCGATGCTCGCCGAAAGAATCGAATCCCGCTGGCTGGGCCTTTCAAACGAAAGCAAATGGATCGAGCGCGAGCTATTTTAAGGACGAGCCTGCGCGTCCTGTGTATACCACGATGGGAAATTTCGACAGCTCCGTAATAATTGGATTTCGGTGTTTAGCAATCGCCGTGTGGAATTCCCTTTAGAAATTTCGTCGGAGATTACAAGCTCCGTTGCTAGAATGGTGCTGTAAATTGTCAGTTCCGTGGAGGCCTTCGGGCCGTTCCTACGCGAGATTTCAAGGGTTAATTTTGGGCCCAGAGCGAGATAATAACAGGATTCCCGCAAAGGACACGAATGAAAGTCGAAAACGAAGGAAGGAACGCGGCACGCTGGCCTTACTCGCTCTCGGAATTAGGCAGGACGCGGCCAAAGGGGGCCCCCGAGCCCGGACAAATAAAAGAACAAGGGTCCGCTCCGGTAGATTTATGACCGAGCATTATGAATCTGGACGTTCGCGGTTCAAATATGTATATAACCCGTATACGGCGTTTCGAATTCAACGGGTCGAGACGATCGACTGGCTGGGTATGGGAAAAATGTGAAGATGAAACGTTTCAGGGCATTGTTCTCGCAAACTTTATCTCCCAAGTCACCGAATGACCATCGTCGATTTGGTAGCTCTGCGAATTATTAAATTAAGTTAAAGTGTTTCGTGCATAAATACACGCTAAAGGGTTGCGAAATCGAAAATTATAATTTTCTAACTTTGAGACTACCAAATTACCTTTGACTGAGATACCTCGACTTACGATACCTGTGAAACGTGTTTATAAATTATCTACACGCTTTACCTTCTTGCAATTCAGAACCGTAGCGGCAAGAGGGTTCATTATCGCGATTAATTCTTCGACGGGAAGCAATTTCCTCGAATTTCCCCAGACCGAGAGTAATCGCGAAACGAGCGTAAGCATAGAATTACGGTTCCCTCCGTTCGATGTCAATAGTTCGGTCGGGTTTATCAACGAGAGGCAGTCGAAACCTAAAAAAAGAACACACGGCATGGCAGTCCCCGTCTGATCACGAAGTCGCTCGGTGCCGATCCTGGAACCTCCCGGAGGGGTAAACACAACCGCTTTTACGACCTACTCTCGAGATTACTTTTCTTCCCGGAGCCAAACATCTCCGTCTGGTTCGATCCTCCTTCGACGGACGCGCGGGCCGCAGCTGCCAGCAGCTCGCGCTCGCTTTATGGCGTTTAAACAAGCCCCTCGATTTTTCGGCTCCCGCGAGGCTTCGTGTCGCACGCTTCTCGAAAATGTGCATCATCGAACAGCGGTGCACACGCCCTAGAACGAAACACGTCCGGCTTGTGGGGACACGAGCATGGATAGAGAAGATTCAACGTTGAGCCGGGGGTCGTAAACCAACGCGGAGGATCGCAAAGGACGTTTCTTGTCCTCCACAGTTGTACCACTTCCGGCGAACATCAAAGCAACAAGCCGAGCGGGAGAGAGCTATTTTCTCCCGGTTAAGAGATCGTCTTCCCTTCCTCGAGCCGAAGAAGAAGAGGCAGAAGAAGTAGAAGAAGAAGAAGAAGAAGACCGTTTGATTATTATTCGCAGCGTTGGATCTCTCTCCAACAAGGAAGAAAAGAAGCAAAGTTCTACCCCGCCGAGCGGAACTCGCCTCTCGTTACGACTCGAAATCTTTTTCGTTACCGCGATACTACGCCCCCTTCTTTTTCGGCTAACGACGAAGAGGTTCGTTAAATTCGGAAAATCATTAGCCGAATGCCTTTCTGTGCCGCCGCAAGAATCTCGACGAGAGCTGCTCGCTCGCGGTTACTTTATTCGGGCAACGAACTCGGCCGAATTAACGCGGTTCTCGTTTTTTTTCTCTCGACACGGTGGAGTGATACGAAAAGACAAAAAAAAGAAAAAAAAATATATATAAATGATTTCGCGGCGGCGCGAGCAAAGGCGGCTTCACCCCGTTTCGAAAACAATTTCGAATCGCGCAGCGTTCGAGCGTACGTCTCTTCGTGACGTCCGCTTAATGCATGCAGATGCATAATTCATCGCGCGTACGCAGAACCGCGCACTTTATTACGCGGGCTCGCAGCCGGCGAACTACGCGAACTACATGATTTACGCGCGGGGCCGTAAGTTGTATGGAGCTGGCGGGCTGGTCGCGCGCGCGCAACACTCGCTGCCGATCCGCGTGTGTGTTTGGAAGGGGGGTGAAAGGAAAAATTCACCGTGGCCACACCAGCACCCTACCTTGGGCTGGCTCTTCTCCGTGTACACATTTTCACGGAGTCCTGACCACGGGGCCGAGACGCGTCGTCGCTGCAAATTGTGTTCGGAGTGCCGCCTTCCAGACGAGCACCGTGAAATTCACACTCTTGGGATGTTTTTTCACGTTCCTGAATGCGCCCGCTCGGCGAGGCCTCCTTTCTTCGTGTCGCGACAAGACGCGTGGCGAGGTCTTATTAAAAAAAAAAAAAAAGGGGGGGAAAAAGAACGAAAAAAAAAAAAAAGGAAACGGAAAAGAAACTGATAGGGGAACGAGCGGGTGTGAAGGAAGAGATGGCCAAAGGAAAAGGAAAAACGCGAACTAGAGTACCGACGCCCTTTTGACAGCGAAGAAGCTACACGCCACTCTGCCATGCTTCGCGGTGACCGACACAAAAGGCAAGCACGAATTAGCGGAGGCGCGTGGAAGCGTCGTAACACCGGCGTCGCCCTCCCTTCCTCTCTCACGCACATCTGAAATTTTCTTGGAACGAAGTCGTTAAAATAATGTACCCCCCTTGACGCTTTTTATCGTCGTCGTCGCTACGAGCAAGAAGCTTTTCTAGCGTTCGTTAAGCAGAAGGTTATTGAACGTAGGGAAA